GGGGAGGAGGAGGAGAAGGAGAAGAAGAGGAGGAGGAGGAGGAAGAGAAGGAAGAGAAAGAAAGAGAAAGAAAGAAGGAGTAGGAGAAAGGAAGGTAGGAGAGAGAGAGAAAAAACTAGAAAATATATTAACGTTGACAATAAATTACGACTTGACCTTCCTGCAATTCGTCCATTAATTCTGGAGCTTCCCCTTCCGTTGGGTTGCCAATGCCCCAGGCTGGGGATCAAGTCAGATGCCTTTTGTTGGAAGGTGTTGGCCAACAGTTGAGGATCAAACCAAACAGACTCGTGGCCTTGTCTTTCTTTTATTTATTTATTTTTAAAGCCATTGGATTAGATAAAGAGACCCTTCAACAAATACTTGGAGAGATTTCTCCACTCCTCCTCCGTGGCTCCCGAAGGTGGACTTTATTGGTTTTGATCTGAACTGGATACTACTACAGGGCATGGAAGACCATGAGTAGAGGCAGGAGCACATGGGGGGAGGTTGCTAAGAGTAAACCCGTAGGAAAATGTTTCTTCTGAATGCCATCCTCCAAAGAAGAAATCCTGCTGGCTGAAGGATCCACTGGGTTTCTAATGCAGTCCCACTTCATTTAAACGGGCAGGATTCCCCACGGGTGCTACAAGGGATCCTAATAGGAGAGGGGTCCCCAAACTTGGCCACTTTTGTGGACTTCAACTCCCAGAATTCCTCAGCCACCTAGGCCTGCCTTTTTTTTCCTTCTCTCTTCATCTCCTAAAGCGGAGAGAGATTGCAGAGGAAGGGATTACAAGAGAGTAAAAACTATGCTAGCTGGAGAATTCTGGGAGTTGAAGACCCCAAGTCTTAAAGTGGCCAAGTTTGGAGACCTTGGATAGAGGAGTCCCAAAGGTGCTTTCCCTGCCGCCCCCCCCAAAAAAGGCAACTGGATTTTCTTGTGGTTTCTTCTTTTTTTCCCCCTTGAAAAGGTTTCGCTTCTCATCTGAGAGGCTTCTTCAGTTCTAGGGAAGTAGCGAACTGAAGAAGCTCCTCGGATGAGAAGCGAAAGCTTTTCAAGGGGAAAAACCACCAGGAAGTCCAGTTGCCTTTTGGAACAGGCACCTTTGGGACAACCACGCCCTGGTTGGATGACGGAGAATGGGCATGATAGGTAGCGGAAGGTTTCTCAAGCACGCTTAACCCCGCCGTTCACCCAAAATATTTCACCTGCTTCTGGAGTCGACACTCACTCAAGGTTCCTCCAACCCGCTGACCCATCAGCTCCTCCGAATGGAAATGAATGAATGGAGCCAGTTTCTCTTTTGGGGGGGAAGGATGCATTCCCAGGATGCGTTTTAGGGGTTCGCACAAAAGGCTGAACCCTCCAA